GAGTAGATATAAAATCCGGTAGAATCTCGTCGAGACAAAATTAAGGCGAAGCGATGCATGACTAGATATAATTTAATCGCTTTTTTGAGACTTTCTAGCGTTTTCGGGTTTCGGCAAATTTCGAATCGAATCGTTCTGGAAGGGGGTATAGTGGTTAACACCTTTGTCTGTTGGAATATAAAATTGAGTTTGAACCCCGAAACACATTTAACTTTCGAAAACTTTTAGCGGATAAAACCATCATAGAATTTCTGGCACAAGTAGTTACCAAACACAAAAACACGCTCTTTTTTGTCAAAGGGTCTAAGTTTTGTTAATCTTCATTGAATCATTAATTTCATTCTCATTCTGAAATTTAAAAACCCTTTGCGCAAACAATTATGGCTTGCCATTTCTTTTTATCCGTTTTTTACAGATCTAATACAAATTGTTTTTGCGACATGATCTCAACTTGAATTTTTGTTGATTTTTAAAAGCTAGTTCGGATTAGGAAAAAAAAATTCTAATGCTTGAATGATGAGAAATTGTGTCATTGCAGCTCAATCAATCTACGAACCAAATCTATTACTAAAAAGCGACACGTTTCTCTCTAAGTAGCACAAATCCAAACAGAGCTAACAAATTAGATTGATTCCACAGTCAATTAACCTTAAGCTTTTGATTAAGATCCAGGAAATCTATTAAATTCAATTTTAAATTTGGCACTGCAATAATCTGGCATCAGATGGCATGCTATACATCGTGATAAGGTTCAAACGAAAAATTTTGCTGAATTACTGGAACGCGTTGAAGTGAAACGGATCAACCAAATATCAACCCCATTTTATGTTATTTATTTAAAAATGAAACTATCTTCCCCTGAATAGACCAAATGAACAATCTCCCCCTAAAGTTAAACGACCTGTTCAAGCAGTGAGGCTGCAGGTACTAAAATAAAATCTGATTGGCTGACAAGAACTATTTTCACCAACTGATCGATCTCCTCCCTATTTTGATTCAGGTGGAGGTTATTCGTTTGGTCTCAAAATTTTCTACCCCTCTAAATAAAAACAAAGAGTTGGCATTAGAGTTTTCTACGAAGAATTCCGTTTTTGCTGCATTCTGATTGGTAAAAAAACAGACCATTTTATTCTATTTAACATTAATCTCCCTCCTTTTTTTAAATGAGTAAATAGTTGTTAAGTAGACCCAATGAAACTATTGAAACGCGTTGAACTACGTTAAATACATCAGAAGGCAAAGATCTTCCTCACTTGTAATTTTCGATTGAAAAAATTGCCCAATGAATTTATTGTCAACTATAAATTGTGTACAACTATTACAAACTGCACGTTCTATAACTTTTTGATATAACGTATTTATGTGAATTCTATAACAATATAAAACATTTTATAACACCTGTACGGACATTTAGAACATTTGGTTTGTTCAGTTCAAGGTTGGTCATCGTTTCAAAAAATGATTGGTTCTATAATTGTTCGAACTATCGAAGAAAGTGCGGAATTTATAAGTCGGGGCAGCTTGTTTTTTTTTAATCAGACCAATTCTCAAAAGAGTTTTTTTCTCGTGGCATCGATCACTTGATCTTGGTGGGCCCAATCGACTTCGCTTAATGCTATAATTACCTGAACGGAAACTAATTAAACTACTCGTTTGATATTTTGATGCTAAAATTTTGATATCACGCATGATTTAGGCACCGCAAGTCATCCCGCACTACATACCAGTTTATGTTGAATGAATTGAAACAAATTATTTGGTCTAATTAATTCCTTAAACGACTCCAAGTGTTAACACTTAATATTTGATAATATCAGCCAGAGTTTAATAGTTTAACAAAACAATTCGAGACCAGTTAATCGGTAGTCGGAATATTCATGGCCTTGCCTGATACGAGCAGTCTTACTAAAAGTATGCTTTGATCTTGCCGTATTTATTTTTTTTCCGTAAGGCGACAAGGCGTAATTGGTTTCTTAATAATTTTCGCTTGCTACGACATGATGTCCTACCATTTTTGATTTCTCCTGTTTTAAAACAAATAGTTTATTCTAAATTGAATCAACATTTTTTTCAATCTAAGGTTTTTCAATATTGTTTTTGTAATGTTATCGTCAACGATTGATACTTGGCATTCAAACCTTTCTAATTTGAAGAACGTTTCTCCTATTTTGTAAAGTATGAATTATGGGTTTTATAAAAATTCCAAGTAATTTTCAGAAATAGTGAGCTGTCGCTTTTTTGTTGGAAAAAACTTTTCGTATCAACTTTGCAAGTATATAAATCTTTTTGGCACCATTTCTAAAGCTACGTACGTTATACAGCATTCGGCTGTTTTGCTGAACTGGTTCAGTAAACAACTTCTATTATCTCATTCAAAAAAAAACTAAGATCAATTGAATTCTGCATGCAATTGGCCATTACGAAACGCAAACTAGACTAAAATTCTTCATCCAGATTTAAAATAAAATTTAAACAAGTTAATAGCCTGAAAACTAAAGTCTTTGATTCATAAATAATCTTTTGAACTAATTTCCTTCCAACCAGCTTGGTACGTGTAATAATTTTTAAAACTGATCATGATAAAAAGTAGTTGTTCACAAAAAATAAGAGTAATCTGGCAAACATCGTCATCTTGTATGCTAGATTTTTGATTTTTCTAGATCATTAATGTCAGTATTTATAAGAGAAGGCCAAGAAGTGATACTTGCAGAGTTACCAATTTTTAAAAAATAAAGCTAACCTGTAAAACTGTTTCGCCTGAAAAATTTTTTGACCGAATGGCGGATTGCGCCTCTAAAACCCTAATTCTTACATCTCTGGAGTAAAAGAATGAAAAAAAAATAATAATAAAAATTGAGTTAGAGATAAAGTCTGGATCAAAAAATACGTTTCGGTAAGATACGGAAGAAAAGTTTCGACTAATAAAATTACAGAAGCTTTTAGAAAAAAATGAAATACTGAAGGCAATTTGTTAATTGTTTCAAAGTTATCTTGAATGATTTGTCAGTTTATGTCAATTTGTTTGACCTAATTTTTGTTTCTTGAATTGGAAGGTATTGCTGATTTTTTGTCGAGCTTCCATTTTATTTTAACAAAAAGTGTTCAAAATTTTTAATTGAATTTTTTCAAATTTTGCACTGTTTTATATCTATTAATTGAATAACAGTAAAAAATTTAATTTCAATCAAAATAGCTAGATAAAAATCATCACAAGCTCTGGTTTTGGAAAATATAATTTGGTCAATTTCATTTCTTTTTCTTGTATTTGATCAACTGTTACATCAAATTTGGTTATCGTTCAATTCTCCAACTTAACGTACAAAACGGCCAATAATTTATACAAGAACTCCAACAGGCCTCCTCTTTTTGCTCCGACTTTCAAACAAAATGGAAAACTTATGCTCTGGTTGGTTTTTTTATTCGTCCATTTTTGGCAATCGATTTAATAGTTTTTAACATACTATTTTTTATACCTCAATGAGGATATAAATTCTTTGAACTCAAATGTAAAAAAATATTTGACCTCAAATTAATTTTGCAAAAATCTGGGAGTTTGAAAACTGTCATTTGTACCATGCTCTGGACTAATTTATGCGTGCTTTGAAGATTTTATTCATAATGCTAACGCATTATATTCAAAATATTCATGCGTGGTGAATTATCTCGCTCAACAAAACTGTTCTAAATTGAAGTGAGGATAGCTAATTGGTCGTATTAATTCGTGCGACTCAATATTTTGTTCCTGCTTCAAAGAAACTAACGGTTCATTTGTGCTCGGGGTGGTTTTTTATTCTCCAGACAGATTTAATCCAGTAATTTTTGCCAAATTTTTTGAATATCTTTCGAAAACTTCGTTGTAAAAACTTTAAAAGACATTTCACCTGCGATCAGTTTTGTAAAGTTCAGGCGGTTTAAAGATTGCCAATTTGAGACAATGATTACGCGATATATTTCGTGCTATTAATGCGTAAGCGGAGATTTAATCTGAATTATAAATTGTTCCAAATTGGATTGAGGCATGCTCTTTGGTCTATTTAATACTTTGCCATACTTTGTACTGTACATAGATTGTGGAGGATGATTTAAGAAAATTGATTTTTTTTAGTTTTTTAAAAAATTCATCAAATATTTAATTTTAAATTATTCCAAAGAAATTAAAACGCTGTCAGAACGGAACATTCAGGGTTTCGCGCTCATACGAGCAGTCTTGTTACTCAAGAGCACATTAGTAGCTAATGAAATCCATCTACAAACTGAACTCGTATACATTAATATCTTTCGTCGTTGGAACTTCTCTCAATGCTGCTATGAAACGTTTTCTTACTGATTCGTTACAAGAATTTGAACCTGAGATATTTTTTGAAGTGAAAGTATTTTCCAAAAAATTGCTTGTTCATATTTCCAACTGTACTTATGATGCTTTAAAATTATCTTTTATCTCGTCCTCACATAATTTCCAGCTCACATAGATTTTTTGACATGTGAAGTCGTTTGTCAAATGAGATCGTAACCCGCCTGAGGCTCGACTCCTGATTTGACTGAAATGTCCAACAATTTCCGTTTTTGACTTTGTTTAACTTTAGGGGAAAACGTTCAACTTTTTTTGACAATGATCCGTTTTTTAAAAAGATTCGATGAGTAATCGATTATAAAAAGTATTCATCATTAATTTGTACTCTGACCAACTTCTGAAAGTTAGCAAGGATAAAAGGGAGAGTCTTCGCGATTCAATTTAAAAAGCGATAGTTAGCTTTACAAACTGTTTCTGAGCCCTTAAGACAAAAAAAAAACATTTTAGACATCGATTATGGACTCTGCTTCTCTTGGAGGAGTGAAGCGATATCAATGGAGCTTCATAGCTAGAGTTCAGGATTTTATACAGGTATAAACAATCTGCAGGTGTAAACATTGAAGTAAAAACATTTCGAAAATTTCTAAATAAGGCTATAAATGCAGTTTTTTGAACAGAATAAATATTTTCAAGATGAAAGTGTACTTACAGTTTGAGAGAGGCTTTCCGAATGAAGCTAGCCATGACGATGATGCTGACGAACGTGCCGAATAAAGACAAAATATCGAGTCAGATTTGAATCTGCTTCTATCGTGCGGAGGTGGTATTTCAGAAAGTTAATTATAGATTGCTCTCAAATTAAGAGAGAGCTTGGTCTGCATATATATAGACGGCGAGGGAAACTAAAGTAAAAGAAGCGCTTCTGGCGAGTATCATTAGTAAGGTATAAAAGGGCAATTATAAAAAGCAAGACCGAACCAGGAATGTATTGATAAAAATTTACGCAAGATCTGGGGTCAATTTTCAATTTTCACGCTGCGATAGATGAACTAATCAAAAAGTGTGTCACATCGTTTAAAATACTCACTTTCTGTAACCAAAACAGGAATAATTTAGCTTTCATTCACTCCGTCGGTGATTCTGTACCCTTTCAACGATCCCCGTGCCAATGCTATTATAAAACTGGGGGATTAATGCGTAGCTCGGGCTTAAGTTGGGGTTAATTCAAATTACAATTGGGGAATTTTCAGCCCACAAACTGAGATCGTTGTAACGGTGGAACGGTACTTGGCATTTCAAGGGAAGCGCAGTTGCAATTTCCGCAAAATTATAGAAACGAGTGCACTTAAGAGCATCATACCTTCTTTTTCTTATTTTTCAGAAATAACTTTTTGCATAAAACACAAGTTTTATCGCAAATTGTTTAGTGTTACTAAATTTAAAAACTCTTGTGATTGAAATAAAATAATTTATACCACACAAGAAAGAGGAAATAGTACGGAACACTCGGCTTCTTACAGAAAAGCACAAACGAGCATTTGATTTTTCAAAATGATTTTCTACGTTTTTTTTTCGGATGGCAAATCTGCGTTTCATAACCGCCGACCTTTTATGGGCAAAGGTGACATTGAGTCATTTCAACTACTCGCGTACTTTTTCCATACTAAAAAATTGTCTGAGGCCTAAAAAAGCAAAAAGCGAGAATTTTAAATAGGCGCCTAACACGAAATTTTAAATAGGCACCCAATACTGTATAGTCTAATTATTGATTTGTTATGCAATAGTTCAAAATCGATAAGAGTGGTAGACAAGCTATCTGAGCAGTCCCATCGTTTTGCTGCAACTGCTCTTTTTCGGAATTTTTCCCTTTTTCATGATAAAAATTTCTCCGATTATTCGCATTTATTAATGACTTAAAAATCTTAAAAAACACTTTTGCTATAAATTGGTGTGGATTGTATCTGAAGTGAACCCTAGGAAATATAAGGTCGATTTTTTGCTTTTGAAGCGAAAAAATATCATTTTTTCAAAGCTTTTTTGATACAATAGGGGCCAAATTTTGTCTGAAATAGTTTGCAATGCAGTTAAAATTTGAGAAAAGTACGCATAATTATTGCGCACGTGAGTTTTTTTGGGAGAAGCACAATAATTAAAGCGTAATACAGTTGCAGTTTTAGAATATTTTTTTTCAATAAAAGCAGATTTACGTTTGGAGGAAATTAGGGGAAGGTAATCTCCGATTATCTGCCTATTTCCTAAACTGAATGCATGATTTTTGAATTAATCGAATCAGCTAGCTACTGAAGGAACGCCTGCTGCGAAAACACAGTTTTTAATGTATTAAACCAACTGACGCCTGAAGGATACAAGCAAACGAATCACATAAATGAAGATTTTTGGAGGTTCTCGAAAAATTTCACAGCGATTGAAATAAAAACGTTTATAATGAAGAATGAAGTTGTTTTTTATATCTATACATTTCCGGATGAGTAATGAAAAATAGAAAACTATAATTTTGTTTGTTTTTTCATCATTTTCAAAATGAAAACTGCAAAAAAAAGGTGCAGAAAAAAATCTGAAAAAGATGCAATACATTTTTCGTCATTATTTTCAATTTTGCAGTCGTAGACAAAAACGGTACGGTGAAAGTGCTCAAAGAATATATGCTACGGGTTAAAATTGGTAATATTTTTAAGAAGATTTGTTAATGTAAATGCACTTGAAAAAAGTATAAGACTTTAAAAGTGCTACGACTTCGACTTAACTTAATGCTAATGCAAGCTGGGAGATTGAACCCATTTTCAGACGAAAATGGCGGCGTGTGAACGGAAGCGGAATTTTATGACAATCGCATACGTATGAAGTCTTTAAATCAACCAACTGTGACACGTTGAAATCTTACCTCAACAGAGCCATTAAGCCCATTAAACTGCCCCCAGGCAAAACTGAAATATGGGGAATCCAATTACACATGCCAGAAGGAGCGAATGTCCGAAATGTATGATAGCCAATCAAAACTCAATATTCAAAATTTTGAAAGGTTTAAATGTCAAAACTAGTCAAATTTTGCTGTTTTTGGGATGTTCAAAGGATGTAGATGAATTGGAAATTTTTGAGCATTCGGTCTTTCGGTCTTAAGAATATTACCCTTGAATCATATCATTGAGTGCCATTTTTGAAGTACAATATACAACATTACTAGAAAAATCTTGTCTAACTTGATTTACTATGCCGTTGGGCCCAAAACTGAGTCAGGCTTTTTTAGTATGCTCTTTCCTTGCATAAAATTTGTCTAAAAATCTTTTTTTCTCTTGCAAACTTGGATTTGGATGCAGCAGCGGATTTAGGGGGGAGTGGGGGGAGGGGGGGGGGGGGGGTCGGACGCCTCATCCGCAGGGATTCGACCCCCTGCCGACCCAAAGGGTCACCCCTTTGTACTATTTTGAGACATCCATTTTTGGCTGACTGACCTTAAACTTTTCTAAAGGCGCCTTCGGAGAAAATTTGTGAGAGCCAGAAAATCAATTTGGTCGACCTAAAATTTTTTTGAAAATCCGCCCCACTCGAGAAATTCCTAGATCCGCACCTGTTTGGATGTATGAAGTTTTGCCGAGAGGTTCGGAATTAGTATGACAGGAGGGCGGTCTCGGTAAAGACAAGTATGATAGATTATTTCCGCCATTTCTGTGAAAAGTTTTAAAATGCAAATAAGCAAATGAACATATTGTGCCCGAGGGTTTTGAAAGCCCATCACATTTTTTCACGGACCCATCTATATTTTAGGATTTATTTAAGGAGCCACAGTTTTAATTAAGAAAAGTACACAAAAAGCCAGAGTTCTGCATATGGAACAAAAATACGAAAAAGTCAAAAAAGTTATGCTAATACGGCCGAACGTTAACCAGACCGTACTGAAAAAAGAATTAGTTTGCTGAACTAAAATTTCAAAATCAATAATCAAATCAGGACAAAATCATGCTGCATCCGCGGCAAAACTGCATCCGCTTTTCAGAATAACAAGTCATCAAAAAAACTTCACAGGTAAGATTTTTAAGGGTGAGATTAGAAAAGGAAGTTTGTCAACGCAGGTAATTATAGGTCAGCTTTGAAATTGAACGCAATTTATAGCCAAAAGTGCGCTCCGTTCGTTCCTATGCGGCTAGAACAGGAGCAGATGGTGATTAATGATCGATCACCATAAGAATTTTTATCTAAAATGTCAGTTTCGTTTTCTAGTATTGCACGGAACCGGTTTCTGGTTTACCTGTATTGGAAGTCTTTATGAATAATTAGACTATCAGTTGAAATAAATAAAACAAAAAGAGCTTGTGCCAAACATAAAAATTTATCTGTAAAGCTCTTTGCATTATCAACGAAATATAAAAAAGAAACTGGAGAAGAAAATAAAAAGATAAAAATAACTGCAAAATGAGAAAATGAAGAGCTGTTCTATAAACACGAATCGATTGGCAATTATGTAGATCACCCAGGTCTAACCTAGATCCGCCCCTAACTTGAAGTTTCATTTCTAAGTCAAAGTTCTACAGAACTCTAATTGTATTTTGCTTAAAATGGGGTCTTCAAGACCATTTTTAATTTAACAAAAAGACTACTCGTACCAGAATTTTCCGACTTCGCTTAAGCGTTTTGAAAATAAGTGTTGATTGAAGTTTTTTTCTAAATTTTCAAGAAAAAAGTAAATCTGAAAAAAAAAAAACAATTTATTTATTGAAAACCTCCCCCCCCAGGCGCATTGACAAACTATAAAATACTTATTTGTGTCTACCCGCATCCAGTTTCAAGCGTTAATAACCTCTCTTTTTGAAATCAAGTATAATCAATTATAATACAGTATAATCGATTATAATCGATTATATTTGTCAAATTTCTAAATTATTTGTTTTGTAGAAAAATCCATTATAATTGATTATAATTGATTATAATCCATTTACTTGCCTATTTTGTTTTCGACCTTTCATCTGAATTGCTTATGTTTTATGCTTTTTGTAGATGTTGGTTCATGTGAAAAATGGTAAAATTGTTTTAACTGTTTTCAAGTCAATTCAAATTTATAACGTTTTTTTTTTTCATTCCTTCTTGATTATAGTTGTTTCAAGATGCACATATTAAGTTTTTTTGACCACCAAAATATCAGCACACTGCTTTAGTTTCTTGTTTTATCTAGAATAGTTATATTTCACCTACCGCGGGATTTTTTCAACTAATACGAAAGGATCTCTATGAGACTTTTGTTTCGCGGCAAAACTTTGTGTTCAGATAAACCAAAAAGTGACAAGACATCTCATTTTTAGAGATTTTTGACAGAAAAAGAATTATAATTTATTATAATAGACAATAAGAGATTATAAGAGATTATTAGAGATTTTCGGAAAAATTATAATCGGCTATAATTGATTATAATTTATTATAATGTCACGAAAAAAGTTATCATTATAATGGATTAAAAACCGTTTAAACATCTAAATTTGGTGCGTATAATTAAATATAATTTTGATAAAATTACAAGTATAATTGTAATTTACCAATTATTTTCTTTTTTACTGAGAGCGGATTGTCTTGCGTTATTTGAATCAATTAGTTCGACCAAAGTCAATTTAAAAAAAGTTGTAGACGTGTTAGTTCACCACTTTTGCATTGGAAAACTAAATAAAGTCAAAACTGAAAACTGCTAAATATTTGGGATCTTTTATTCCCCTTCATCTGATATTTTATACGGCAAAAAGAAGAATTTTTGACCCGAGGGTACAAGATGATTTTTCTACCCAGAATTAAGTGATAAAAAGAGTCCGTATGAGTTAGAGCAGTTATGTACCGAACTCCAAAACCTTTTCAAAAAATTTTCAGAAAACAGAGCAAATTAAAAGCTCTTAAAAAGATCAATTTAAGAGTATTTTTTTTGCGATCACAGAATTGTTAAATATTTTTTAAACCGATTAGCCAGAAAAAAACGCGTGATGAAAAAAATTAGGCAAGTAAAAATAGTAAGCTTTCTATGTTAAAATAAATCAAGGAAAACTCTTTGCGAAAACTGCGAACCGTTATAGAAAAACGCTTTATGCTCAAATGAAACTTGCTCCAGAAAAGGATGGATTATCAAATTAAGAATAAGTAAAATCAGCAACTATTTGAAGGAAGAATGTTCTCGTGGACCAACACTGATGAGAAACGTAAGAACTCGGAAGTAAGTTGTTAATAACTTAATCAAAATTGACATACAGTTATGCTGAAAAAAACAATTGTCAAAACAAAAAAATGGGACAAATTTTTGCAGTTTTTTTTGTGATTTTTCAAATCTGTTTGTAAGCATTAAAGCGCTAAGCAAAGCGCTGGACTAAAACTAAGTATTACATGGCCTAAATAAAAATAAACTCCCTGAAGAATATATTTTTTCTTAGGCCATGAAATACTCAGTTTTACTCCAGCGCTTTGCTTAAAGCTTTATTGGTTACAAGTAGATTTGAAAATTTCAGAAAAAAGTCGGCTAGAAAACAATTAGCGGTAACGTCAAAAACGGAGCAACCGAACAAAAAATATAAGTATTTAAACTAATGCGACTAATCAACTGAGCGTGCGCTAACCTAAGTGAACTCAGAAGTCTTTAATTTCAGCTTTTTTTAAAAATATTTTCGTGGTATGTGTTTTTGCGCAGATAAGAAAGTTATCCGAAATTGTGATCAGGGTACAAATAGAACAATTTTCAAAAAATTTTGTAGTAAAAAAAGACTTTAATCTGTTTTCCAACCAATTCTGAAGTCCGGCTTAAGTTATTTGCAGCAATAGACTCTATAAAACAGAATCCCAGCTCTTAGATTGAAGTGGATAAAAAATGTAATTTGGTTTAGCTAATTGGTTCTTCCTACTAAAATATTGAAACCAGAAGAAACTCGAGTCTTTAACCACCGGAATTTTAATTTAAATTTTCAAACTAAGCGGATTTTACGTCAAAAAAATCAAACTCTAAATCAAATTCACTTTTCCTG